CTTTTCAAAATCGTTTACATAGGCCTACTGTAGGTCATTTAGAGCAAATAAATCCTTGCAGTGTTTAGTGGGGCAGCAGGAATTATTGGAACGTTGGGGTGGATGAAGAAGCATGAATGAATGAATAATATAGTGTGATGTACTTGGTTCAGTTGTACTTTGCTGTTTGAAGCGCGAAAGGAGATTCATATTTACACTTGCACGTTGCCAGGTAAAGTTTTTTTTTTGTGCGCACACTCCGTGACAGAGTGGAATGTATGGAAGCCCGTTTCCGCCACCGGAGTAACGAGAAGCGTAACACTCGAAATAACGAGATAACTAAGTCGAAATTTCGACTTTAATTTTATATAATTTTTTTCTCCGGTGGCGGAAACGGGCTTCCATAGGAATGCCGACAATGTGCCTCGTTATATAATTCTGTAAATCGGTAGTACACATCTAAATGTTTTTGTTTCAGAATATGTCCAGATATATTTCAGCCTAAATAGGGATGCCTGCACTTGATGGCCAATTTCACATGTATTTTGTGTACTTTAAAAATACAAAATACTGTATTTGTATTTAAATACATTTTTTTACACAGTATTTTGTATTTGTATTTAAATACATTTTTTACACAGTATTTTGTATTTGTATTTAAATACATTTTTCCACTCAGTATTTTGTATTTTTATTTTAAATACATTTCTATGTATTTATGCCCATCTCTGATTGTTGTGCTGTATTAACTGAATGCACAGCAGAGTCATGTGATTTTCCTTTTGTACTACATTGGAGTTCAGCCTGTACCCCAGACTGTGCCATGTGTTTGTGGGATAGGCTCCAGCCCCCCCACCCCACCCCGACCTTGAGCAGGATAAGCAGCTAAAATATGTATGGATAGATCGATGTAATTCATCAGAGCACACCATTCATACCTAGATGTGTGTGACATAGCCTGTCCTCGATAGCTGCTTCATCTGAAATAAATCACTGTGGTTCAGCAAATCAAACACCTTCAGTTCAAGGCCGTTACTTAATTCTCAGCAAATGCATACAGTTTTATAACTCCATTACGGTATAAACTCATAAACCAATGTAACGTAATTACTAATTATTCTGTGAAGATTACAGGTCTGTCCTACTTATAGCTTAATGGCTTAGGGTTAGGGTTAGGATTAGGGTTAGGCTAAGTGACATTTCCAAACTGCCTGTAGGGTATGACTGAGTAAGTGCGTAAATAATAACTAATGAAAATTGTTTTTCAATATGAATGATCGTTATCTTATTTTAAATCTATTAGCATAACATTAGAATAAATCAGCAGATATTTACCAGGAAATGCAAAAAACAAGAGAAAATTAGCCTTTAAAATGATTTTCATTTATCTAATTTATTTCACTATTAATCGTGTCTGTATAGTGATTTCGGTTTAATGTTACAGATTTTTTTTAAATATGCCCTGTCGTATTCAGCGTAACAGGATTTGAGTCAAGTAACATAGTCTATCGAGGCTAATTAATTCGCTTAGAAACGTGGGTAACACTGTATCTTTGAGTGACTGTTGTAGTAAGGAATACATGCCACTAGGTGGCAGTGTTAGCTACAGCTGCGTCGCCTGTCTGGGGGCAGTCCTGAATCTGCAGCGGGTATGAGTGCTGCGCCTTGGTCCACTGGCTCGATCTGGTGATCTGACACACCACTGCAATGGGTGAGCAAGACACTGCAAGCCAGTGATTTATAGCCCTGCTGTCATGGCTCCTTTGGTTTAGCCGGTAACCGTGATCCTTCAATTATCATCTACAGGGATAATTCACCATATTGAAATATGTGGTGTCTTTATAAAATTCATAAAATAACAGTGTCACCTGTCAATATGAAAAAAAAAACAAACCTAATGAGCCACGATAAAACAATTTATCTCATACCTTTGTAAGGTCAAGGCGTTTCTGGAGCTGTTTTTGTAATGAACTTAAAAGACCAGCAGGGGGATGAATCCCAATCACATGAACAAAAACACAACATTTCTCCGCAGTCCCATCACTCTGGTTTGTGTTGCCAACACTTTGCAGAAACCTAAGAGCTTTGTACAGGCTTTCTGGTGCTAGCAAGCAGATGTGACTGGGACATTCGCCTCGAATCTGTACCTCCTTGTGGAACACACATGGTTGCCTGACAGCATGTTAGCATTCCTAGGCCTGTCTAATTGGATTTGAGTAGGACCCTAATAACATTATCAGGTTATTAAATTTAGTAGAATCGTCCTAAAGCTAAATACATAAATCCTTCAGAAAGCTTCCCTGGGACCGAGCATGTAGGCCTCTCTGCTGCCGTGGTAACATACTTAGGGTGCTGCTTCTAGGCCACTGACATCCCCCCAACTTCCATGCTGTGCAGTAATTGAAGTCTCAGCAATGACCTAAAAAAGGACATTTTCATGAATCTGGAAGTAGCTTAAACTGTAGTTTATGGGATCCTGGTGTATTGGAGAGGGTACCTAATGGGATATAGGTGTATAGGAGCAGGAACGTTACGGGATACAGGTGTATAGGAGCAGGTAAGTTATGGGATACAGGTGTATGGGAGCAGGAACATTATGGGAAACAGGTGAGCGGGAAAGAGTAAATTATGGGATGGAGGTGTATGGGTGCGGGAATGTTATGGGATAGATGTGTAT